AAGAACTCGTTCGGCTTGGAAGCACTAGAACCTAACAACAACCCAGTAGTTAATAAATCTACACCTACCATCTCTGATACACAATAAGGTGAAACAAGAAAACGTCAAAGGAACCATCATGTCATCCACAGGTACGTGTGAGCAATACCTACGCCATACTAGGTGCAACTTGCGATACCCAAACCACCCAGAAATTACTTCAGCAAATTTCCAGTGAACCCAGGAAGAACCTCGGTTATACCATCAGGCATCAGTCCACTTTCAAGCATGAAGGGATCAATTATTATAAGATAAAATAAAATATTGAAACTGCCAATTTGAAAGAAAAAAATCAAATCTTTGAAATTCCAAATCCTTGAAAATTTTGATCAACGGGTAAAAACAACCAAAAGAATCATCCAGTCAACTACTTGGGCCAAAAAGCAATATGAACAACGGTGCCTCATGTTTTGGCAACATGGAGACACGCGGATTCAAAGAATAGAATCACGTGACCATTGGCATTGCGTGAGCTTTGGGGCACTTTGACGCGTGTGGGTGTGTGAGTTGGTCACCTTCAACTCTTTCATACTACGTGATACTTTTCTCCGTCCAAACCCCACGACCCCACACCCCGAAACCTACGACCCTTCTTATATGTTTTAATTAACATTTTCTAATTATTAATTTTTTAAAAACCCGAGAAATTCCTATGCGGGTTCGAATTTGGTTTTAAAAAAACCAACACGACCACCGATCCAAAAGTCAGCTTAAACCATACAAAAATACAAAAACCCACAACACCAGATGCTAATTTAACAGGCTGTCACTAACACAAAGCTCACAGACCAATCCCTCAAACGGGGAGTCAGAGCACATAAAGGAGGATTTTGTGGTCAAGCTGTCGCGTGGTGAGAGCTCCACGTCAGCAAACTCCAACTGTCAGTGCGTCGCAGGGGATAACTTGCTCCCCCACTAAACCCCACCACACGCACACGCACCAAACCCAAACGCAGACCTAATTCGCCACGAAAACGCCTCTCGACCCATAAAACAGGCAACCCCCCATATTAATCAATTAAAAAAAAACGCCACCCATATTTTTATTGCATTACCCGAAATGCCCCTGACGAATGGGGGGGAGTTGCGCTGTTCGTGGAGGGGTAGTTCCGTCATCTCCATGGGAATAATATCGCCAACCGCCATTGGTGGGATTTGGTTATAAACCCCGACAAGGGGCTTGAATTCGGTGGACAGTTTCGCGGCCAGAGGAAAGAGGTGACACGGATGCTCAAAAGGGCGGGGAGAAAGCGTGACTTTGTGCGTATAAAGAGAAATCGATGAATTTATCTCAGAATTTTCGGAAAATAATTTTAAAATGATATATCGAGAAGGAAAATCTTTGTTCTATGGAGAAAAAAAGGATGAGATCGCCGCACAGTTTATTGGGGTATTTCGGAAAAAGGGAAGGGAGAAGTCGCCGATCCCGTAACTGAAAATGACGGGAATACCCCTCACTGCACGACGAGAGATGTCGTCATGCATTCAGGGGCATAATTGGCATAAACGAAAAAGGAAAGGCCCGAGAGTCTACGTGAAAAGGAAACGCCAAAAATATGACACAGGTTCTACTCGCAACACCGACCGTCGTTAACAACGCCGCCGAGCATCGCAAGAGATTCGAATCGGTGAGAAACGGAGAACCAAATCGAAGGAAACTAGAACAAACCTTAGATCTAATGTTCTCGGGCGGTTTCATGGCGCAACTCGACTCCTCGATGCCGTCCACCGCCGAAGCGGCGCCGCCGCTGACAGAGGTAGCGCAGCTCCAGGAGAGCGGCGTGGTGGGGCTGGCACGCGCCTGGTCTCCCTTCTTCCCCGCCTTCGACCGCCGTTGACGCACGCTCCACTCCAGCTTAGCTGGAGCACCATCCTTGTTGAATCCAGTCGCCGTTGGTCATAGGCCTCAGTCGTGGAGAGAGAAAGTGGATGAGAGAGAGAGAGAGAGGGATGGTGGCGAAAAGTAGAGAAGAAGAAATCTCTGTGGCGAAACAATGGATTGGATTTTATATACCAAGCACGGTAAGACTGACATTTGTTACTTTTCCATTTCTTTTCTCTTTTTAAATATTCTTTGGAAGCGGGACCCACTTGATACATACGTGGCAAATATCGTATTTGGTGGAGGGGGAGCCCATTAGTTTGAGCCGATGAATAATCGAGACGAGAGAGCATCCTTACACTATCTTCTTGTTCACTCTCTACAAACCATCAAGAAGAAGCCGTCAAGATCACAATATATAAAGTAAGTGAAAAATATGAGGATTCTCCATTTTTTCAAATCTTTATACGATCATTTCCAGTGAATTCAAAATTATTAATCGCGATTAGTTCAATAAGAAGTTTGATTTCATTTGAAACGCCTTTTTAAGATCATAAAACAGTTTGTATGAAGTTTTTAGAGTATGTAAATATATATTATAAATTATTTTAACTATAGTTTCTTTTCTGTTTTAGATTTCTATATTAATTTTTGTATCAATTTCAATTACTGTTTCTATTATGCAACCAACCGGACCATTCTCCTCGGACTAACCTTAACTTAAACCCGGTTTACTCACACCGTATAACCGAATCCGGTTGACAATCAACCGGGCCAAAGCCGTCATTTCTCCCGAGTGATGCTCTCTGTCGGCTTTGGCTTTCACCAAAACCCTAAAACCTTTGGAGCAGCCAAAATCAGTCTCCATGGCGCTTCATCTCGCGAGACGCAAACAGAGGTTGCTCTCGAACCCATCTCTGATTCAGCTTTTCTCGACCTCCTCATCCGACCCACCTCCCCAAGATGGCAATGCATCGGGCGATAACTCTTCCCAGTCTCCGCCTTCTTCATCGCCTCCCCAGTTTTCGTTCTCTTCGTATTTCGGCGATGTCAAGTCCAGTCTGAAGCAGCAGCCGCAGCAGCAGCAGAACGTGAGAAATCCCTTCGCCAGATCCGATGCCAACGCTCAAAATCCTTCATCTTTTACGTTATCCGGTAATAAGTCAGGTGGGCCATCGACCTCTATACTGGACATCAAGAAGAACCTCGCCGAGTTCCGCCGGAGATCCGCCGTTCCTCCGACGGGTGATTCCGCCGTCGCTCCGCCGTCGCAGTCTCAGCCGCAGGTTTCGTTTCACGAGCTCTACAAGAGGAACGTTGCATCCAACTCCGGCGATTCATCGGCAGATCCTGGTTCTCTGAAATTAACGAATATGGGTTTTAGCGCCATCAGGGCGAGCTTGAAGGAGATGAAGACCCGAGAGGACGTGACAAGCAGTGTAGAGAAGAAAGGACCAACCTTGTCGGGTTTCCAGAACATGGTGAAGGTGAAACCAAATCAAAATATCAAGTCAAATGTGATCGGAGGAGCAGAAGCATATTCATTGCCCCTATCCGTGTTCGGTAAGGAAATGGAAGAAAGGAAGGCGGGGAAGGGGAAGGGAGGTGAGACAGAGGGGAGGAAGACTGATCTCGTGAAGAGTTATAGCGCTGACGAATTGGGAGAGAAACTAAGGTTGCTTAGGCCTGAAGGGAAGAAAGAAGAAGGATGGTTCTCACTGCAGGAACTGAATGAGAGGCTGGTAAAGTTGAGGCAATGGGAAGAGAATGAGAACAAGATCATGGCGAAAAGTTTTGCCTTGAAGGACTTGAGAGCTGGGATAGAAAGATTGGCCAAAGATGATGAGGAAGTGAAAAAATCTTCTTGTACGTTTCCTTGTTCTATCTAAATCTTGTGTTTTGATTGTTGAGAAATCCCAACTTTTCTGATCGACAAGGTGGCTTAGATGATGAACTGTGTCGGTTTGTTTGCTTGATTTGAATTTATTGCATCTAAGAATTGGTCAAAACATGGTTATTCCATGATAGTGTTGGTTATGGCGCTTACGTCACTTGATGAAGTGTTTATTTGCTTGCAGTGCACAGGCTCGACATTTTGAACCATTTGGGCGGTCCTAACTTTATGAATCATCCTCCAAAGGATCATCTTGTCGAAAATGTAAGATTAATGTTGTTGGGGCTTAACTTCATGTTCTTCTAGAATTGTTTGATCCTTAATTGTTCCCAGCACGAAATGTTTTGGTCATATTTCTTCACTGCTAGTGTGTACAAACTTGCATTTGGTTACCTGAAACGTGATGATGATGACTGATTCTTTTGAGGAGGCTACCGACAATGCTTTGGCATATACTGGGGGTGTTTCACACATCGCTTGAATTATGGACCAACACTTGTTCTCACCTGATGTATGGATTTTTTGTTGTTTCCTTTGCTCGTCGGATCAACCAGGCAGAAATGAAAGCTTTACTGGGTTTTTGTTGTTTTCTTTCAATGTCATGTCCCTTTGTTATCTGTGACTGCTGTTTGTATCTGTCTCAGTAACCTCTTATACATGAACATGCAAATGCAGTATTCCCATCCGGACAACATGTCTTCTGCGGAGAAGATGAAACTCAAGCTAGCAGAGGTCAGGGAAGAGTTTAAAAAGTCGGAATCAGACTGTGGTTCTTCGATTGTCCAAGGTAAGATGTCCTAACTTTAATCCTGACTAAAAGAATCTGGAAGAAGTGTAAAATGAAGTTCAAAAAGAAAAGAAAAAAAACAGAAATGCAGCAGAAGGCTTCTGTTATAATTGAGCTTGAGAGTTCATAGGCAATGTTTTGCATTCTGTAGTCTATTCTACGCGAAAGCTTCTTCACTGATTGATTCTCTCTGGTCTCTCCTCGCAGTGGCACAATTAACTGTTAAGATCAAACATCTATCATCTGCTCTACACAAAAAGGTACTGGTTAGATGATGTCAAATCTTCTTTTAAGCTCTGTGGACAAGTGTTTATCTAACTCTAGAAACCGGTTTCTTGTTACTGTAGGATAAGCATTCGAGGAAGGGACTTCTGGCTATGGTGCAGAAACGGAAGAAGATATTGAAATATATGAGACGGAAAGAGT